GACCGAGACGACAGCATCGACATTCCAGCGCTGGTCAACAAGGCTTTCTACGTCGATGATCTTCTACACGCTACCCAGGACGAGTCCCAGGCAGTAGAGATTCAGCAGAAGTTGGACGCAACACTCAGCAAAGGCGGCTTCCACTTGCGCAAGTGGCACAGTAATTCAGCAGCCGTGCTCGACGCTATCCCACCAGCAGACAGAGCACCCCAAGCCCAGGTCATGTTAGAAGACGCGGCTTGCAACGCACCGCCTGTTTCCAAGACTCTTGGAGTGACCTGGATGGCAGACAAGGATCAGTTCACGTTTGTGTATAACGCGCCAGCCGAGGACTATGCCATCACGAAGAGATCGGTCCTGCGGAAGATGGCGACGATCTTTGACCCGCGCGGCCAGCTGCTACCGTTCACCATCAGAGCGCGGATCCTGTTTCAAGAGGCCTGTATTGCCGGCCATGGTTGGGATGACCCTCTCAGCACAACAGAGGTGAAGAAGTGGAAGACGTGGTTCGCGGAGCTACCGGACCTCACCTCAGTGTCAGTTGACCGTTGCTTCAAGCTTGCAGGAGCACTCCCACAACCATGAGCCACTGAGGTTCACACCTTCACGGACGCGTCCGATGCAGCGTTCGCTGCGGCATCGTATGTGTGAGTCACCTACCCAGACGGACAAGTGAAGGTCACGCTGTGCATGGCAAAGAGTCGTCCAACGCCAATCAAGAAGATGCCAATTCCGAAGCTCGAGTTGAAGGCAGCGGCCCTGGGCGTACGTTTGAGCACGGAGGTCGCCACAGCTCTTGACATCCCAGTAGCGCACCACTTCTTCTGGACGGACAACATGAATGTTCTGTTCTGGGTGCGTTCTCACAGTCGCAAGTTCGCCACAGACGTCGGTGTGAAGATAGCGGAGATCCAGACAGTGACCTCTGGTAAGCAGTGGCAGCATGTGCCCGGCAAGTCAAACCCAGCAGACCTCCCAACACGCGGAATGACAGCTTCAAGTCTCGCAGCGTGTGACGAGTGGTGGCAAGGCCCGAGTTTCTTGCAAGCGCCGCCGTCAGAATGGCCGAACCGTGACATCGTTGTACCGACGAATTTGCCTGGAGAAACCAAGCGCCACCAAGCATCGTCCCTGCTAGCCACCGGTCCGAGCATTGACCGCCTCCAACCAGATCGATACAGTTCCTGGATTCGCCTGAAGCATGTCACTGCGTGGTGCAGAAGGTTCTTTCGGCACGCCAGCAAAGGGAAATGCTGCAGGCAGGACACACCACAGACTGGAGGATCGGCAGCGGTGGAAGGCACCATGGTGTCCCTCGAATACCAGCGTACGAGAAAACCGCAGAAGTTTCTCGTGCAGCCCCTCACAGTTACTGAACTGGAGTCAGCTGAAGATGTGTGGTTCGCTAAGGCTCAGCAAGACGAGTTCAATGAGACGATTGAAGCGTGTAGAAGTCAGCGGCCCATCCCGGCGTCAAGTCCACTGCTACGCCTACAACCGGTTCTGGATGACAGCAACCCTCAGCTACTGCGGATGGACGGCAGGTTGAGCACGGCACATCACCTTCCCAGCAGCCTCCGTAGGCCCGTCATTCTGCCAACGAAGCATCCGGTCACAGCCCTTGTAATCGCTCATGAGGATGCGGCTCACAATCACACTGCTGGCGTCAACCACCTGTTGTCGACCCTGAACTCGAAGTTCTGGATTGTACATGGCCCAGCGGCAGTGAAAAGGCACCGGAGCCAGTGCACGGCCTGCAAGAAGATTTGGGCAAAGCCTGCTCAACAGCTGATGGCACCACTACCCGACTTCCGCACCGAGGAGCCTTTCCGAGCTTTCAGTCGGGTGGGCGTGGATTACGTCGGACCCTTTCTGACGAAGCAAGGGAGAGGAAGAAGTCGAGCAAAGCGCTATCTCTGCTTGATGACGTGTCTTCAGAGCAGAGCAGTTCATCTTGAGATGGCGTATGGCTTGGACACGGAGAGCTTTCTGCTGGCATTCACCAGGTTCGCGAAGAGAAGAGGTGTACCGGATCTCGTCGTGTCCGACAATGGTACCAACTTTGTGTCAGCCGAGCGTGAGCTACGAGAAGCCATCGAAAGCCTCAAGAACAGCCAGATTGCCGCTACCATGGCCTGCAAAGGCGTGGAGTGGAGGTTCAATCCGCCACGCTCACCGCATCACGGCGGGGTCTTCGAAGCAATGGTCAAGTGTGCCAAGAGAGCGTTGGTCGGCATCTTGCACAATGCTGTGTGTTCTGATGAGGAGCTCCAGACTGCCTTCACCACTGTTGAGGCTCAGCTCAATCGTCGACCTCTAACGGCCCAGAGTGGAGATGGACAAGACCCGGAGCCGCTAACACCCTCGCACTTTCTAGCGGGATCGACGACCGTGATGACCGCGGTCGAGGAAGATGGCCAGGCGTACCACCTCAAAGCCTGGAGGGTGTTGCAGAGCTGTTTAGCCGCGGTCTGGAAGCGCTGGCTACAAGAGATGGTCCCAAAGTTGAACATACGTCAACGATGGCAGAAGAGCCTTCCCAACATCCGGATTGGAGATGTGGTGCTTGTCCTGGACGCGCACACTCCCCGCGGCCAGTGGCCCCTCGGGAGGATCGAAGCGATCTACCCAGGCACCGACGGAAGAACACGTGTTGTCGACGTGAAGGTGAAAGGGAAGCAATACCGCCGACCTATCACTGTGCTCATCCCGATAGATGCGGTGCGCACTCCCTGAGCAGAAGAGTTACGGCAGTCTGCTATAGAGAAGATTACGCTCTACTTCTTTGTTGCTTGTTCGTGAAGCTACAGACGATTAGTACATTGCGATTTAGAGTGTTTTCGTTCCCATTCTGCTTATGGTCCCTCAAGGAGGGGGTGATGTTCAGGTGATTCTACTCTCTCATGCATTCAGTGTTATAATTACTATCCAGCTCTGTCCGACTTGTGTTCAGTTGCCTGCGTGCTCCAGTTTGTGTTTGTCTAGGATCTGCTGTGTGCGTTTCATCTCTCTGTTATGTCGGTAGTGATCTTGTGTCTTGGTGCCTGAGGCGCGCTTGCTGTCACGCATTCATGTATTCATGCTCTGATGTCTAGACTTTCACTTTGCTGCGTGCGTGGCGTACGTGCGCGTGCGCTGCGTGCGTGTGCCGGCTCTTTTTCCCGTGTATCTATGCATTATGTTGCTACACTACAGTTCCGGCTTATAGTTCCGTTTTGACTTTAGTTTTCTCAGCTGTTGCTGTTGTTGTGCTTTTAGTTGTTTTCAAGTCAGATTCCTTTTTCCTTCTCTGTTGTTGCTCATGATTATCAAGACTGTAAAAGTATGGAAGTAAGACAATAACTCCAGTGTGAGTTTATGAGCTATTGTTGGTAGTTTGGGTGCTTGCATCCAAACAAACAGTCATTTTCGTTTAGAAAGTTTGGAACGGTACAGAAGTTTGGAATGATAGAAAAAAATGGCGCCCAACAGAAGTTTGGTACGATACAAAAATTTGTAAGCTAAAATTGCGAGCAAGGTGCTACAAGAACGAAGTCGAGTTGAAACGAAGCGAGACACAAGTAAAACGCAATGCAGTTAGGAGTACTTACGGTTCTCAGGGTTGTGAGGTTAAGCGAAAAGTTGGGCGCCAATGTTAAAATTAAAAAATAGGAGAAATGATGACTGACAACACATTATCCAGACATTACAACGGGAACAGGTAGGTTGGTGGAACGACATTTATTATAGATGACGAGACAAGAGACCAAGACGAACGAAACGACTACATTCAAGAGTGAGAAAAGAGAAAGAGATAAAGTCGGAACGGCAAGATAAAGGGCCTGGGTAGCTATGGCCATTATGGGCGCGCAAGTAGCTACCCAGGCCAATGGAACAAAAGGAGACAAAAGGTGAGTACGCGAGTGCATGCAGACCAGCTAGAAAAGGTACAGGAGGAGGTACCTAACACTTTAAAAATTCCTGACGCTCAAAATTTCCGATGAACTGAAGAGTGGCATACTGTCATAAAGACCGAAGCACAAAAACACGAGAGAGCCAGCCCAGGACCCTTTGCTATGCCTGTTCATCATTGTAATCATTTTGCAGAGCTTGCTCACTTCATTGCTTACGTGATCAATCATATGCGAAGACAGCCAATCGGTCAGTGATGACACCACACACGCACGCACGCACACACACACGAAAAATAAGCCGTGGACCCTGGCTAGCTACTATTCGCAATATATTTTTATTTTACGTAGCTACGGGAACGAGAGAGCTTGGAAGCTCAGGGCCCTACGCTATGCTTTTTTGCCTTGATGACCTAGACAAAAAAAGCATAGGGATGTTATAAATTCTTTAAAAAATTCCATTTTTTAAAAGACATAACCTGGGATTCGAACCCGCACTATCGCGCGCCCTGCATGCATCCCCCGATACACTTCGCATACATGCTAATTCTTCCAAGTTGCTTCACGTTATGATCTCGCATTTGAAAGCCCTATTTGAATATGCATTGTGGCCAGCCGTCTTTGATGGTACGGTACGGTACGGGGTAGGTACGGGACAGGTACGATCGAGGGTAATACGACACCGTCTACCGCCTTGATGACGGCAAAAAAAGCATAGGAATGTTATAAATTTTTCAATTCTCCTATTTTTTCAGGCATATCCTGGGATTCGAACCCGCACTATCGCCCTACATGCATTCCCCCATACACTTCGCATTCATACCCATTCTTCCAAGTTGCTTCACGTTATGATCTTGCGTTTGAAAGCCCTATTTGAATATTGCGGCCAGCTGTATGTGGCCAGCTGTGTTTGATGGTACGGTACGGTACGGGACAGATACGGGATAGCGCCAGGCGTGACACAAACAAACAAACAAACACACAAATACCAAATTAAAGCTGTGTGGACCCTGGCTAGCGCCAGACGTTACTGAAGTAACGTCTTCTGCATAGCTACGGGAATAATGATAAATTCCATGCATTCACTAAACGCCCGTGTTATCAACGTACCGAGAGCTTGTCCGCATCGCTGAGATGCTTTTTCTCGAGGTCTGCGAAGGCCGAGTCCCTTGAGTAAAACTCTTTTTGGCATTTCGTCAACAGTACCTTGCGGAGCGATAGTGCCTCGCCGCCAGCAATGGCTGGCACTTCTAAATCCTACAATGGAATACAACAAAGAAACAAAAAGCACAGTCCAATGGTTCTCAAGATAGGAAGTGGAGAATGGAGCAGAAGCATGATAACAATACAGTTGCAGATTTCTGGCATATATGATTGACTCAGTAGAGCGTCCAGCCCCTATATGATGTCCAACCCCTATATAGAGTCCATTGGTCCAAAATCCACTGTACAGAGTCCAAACTTGGAATCAACTGTGAGCTCAAACTTTAGATGGGCATCACTCCCTGTATAGAGTCCAGCCAATTGGCTTCACCCCTATATAGAGTCCATTGGTCCAAAATCAACGGTATGGAGTCCAAACTTTGAAATCAACTATAAGGATTCTTTATGTGGACAACACTCCCTGTATAAAGTCCAGCCAATTAGGCATCCCCTATCCAGAGTTCGAAATTAGACATAGGATCTGCTGTAAGCAGTGAATATTAACCAGAAAACGGCCTCTCCCTTTAATCCTTTACATCATTCACTTCTCAAGATAAAAATGAGTATTGAGGCGCCACCGCAGCCACTTCATTACATGAAAAAACCCTACAAACACCATCCTCAAATCAAGTGGTCTCTTTGCAGACGCTGCAAATTACAATATCTCAATCATGTAGTGTTGCCAAATTATTGTGCACGCACACATACACACACATGCACACACCCACACAACGCCAAGAAAATACCTAAAAAAACCAAGAATCGAAAGAGAATAATGGAGAGCCAAGGATTAATTATTTGTTTTCAAATTATTGTGCGCGCGCGCGCACACACACACACACACACACACACACACACAAACTTATACAATGCCAAGAAAACACCAAGAAAAGAGTAGAGACACAATACACACGCAACTCCAACAGCCATGCAAACGTCCACCCATTTACACGTAAAGTCAAGAGGGATAACAAATAATTATACGAAACGAATGCATACGTGGACGGGTGCACGCACATTTACATACATGTAGTAGTGTAAGACTAAGAGAGTAACATAGTGCAGTAGTCAGCATAATGCTAGCACATGCTGAGAGTGCAATAGCAAGCTTCACCATTGCTCATGGCCGTGCAAATGTTTAGCAGCACTCAGTTCCGCAAGCTTCTGAAGATCAGCACACCTGCAACAAATAGATAACACAAGGATACGCTTATTACCGTAATGATGCATGGGAGCACACAACTACCAAGTTCTCAACGAATGTGATGCTCAATGAAAATCCATCCACTCAAAGACCTGTGAACAGGTGACGGTGGGGACAATAATCTATTAGTAATACGAGGAATAAGATCGTTTGTGCACACTCAAGACGCACAGACACACCACCATACATGTAGTGTACACAGTGTTTCACTTCACTGCAACTAAATTGAAATTCGATGATTTGAACAATCTTTACAGCGTTGCCGTCAGTCAACCTTCCCCAAGATGGAAATGCACTGATTTGTTGTCAGGAGGCAGTTTCACTGACACAATGTCATGTTTGTGACATCAAAAAACGGTTACTTCATGGAATACGAGTACATGTATTAGCTTGAGAAGCTTTTTCTTGTCATCGGCATACAAGAAATCCTCCTCCTACAACTACTAGCACACTGGCACTGCGTTTGTGGATCCCATTGTATTTGACATCATACTAGAGCCTAGTAGAGGAAGAGTGTTGTGGAGTTCACATAATTATCACAGGGATAAAAATACATTTCTCATGCAATAAAATAATAATTGATGATAGCTAGACGATCGTAAACAATTGATGCAAAGTCCTTGCAGTCCTTGAGGACTATTACGAAGTGGTTGATTACTTTTAGGGCATTCATTCAAGCAACATCAAACAAACGCGATACGATCCTTGCAAATGGAAAAAAAGTCAAGCATAACGACAGAACAGCAGACCAATCGAAACGAGCAAAAGCTTCCTTACCTCAGTCATCGTCCTGCCATGTAGTTGGACAGCCTTTTGACACGGTGGTACAGGCAGCTCTTGTCCAGTCAAACAGGGTATCCTTGTGGCGTCGAACGAAAGAGAGTGTCAGTGTATCCAACTCGTCAGATTGGAACTGTGCTGAACTTTTCTCGTTCTCCGCTTTCTGCTTTCATCCCTCGCTCTGATGAAACCGTTCAAACGCCTTACTGGCAGCAATAGCCAGCCAAACAGGGGATCCTTGTGGCGTCGAACGAAAGAGAGTGTCAGTGTACCTGATTCGTCAGATTTGAACTGTGCTGAACTTTTCTCGTTCTGCAATTTCTGCTTTCATCCCGCGCACTGATGAAACGTCTTCAGAGAACCACAAGACGCTTTCCAGATTTGATTTTGAACGTCTCCTTATCCTTCTTGGTTACCTCGAGACAGATTACTGTCAGCAACTGCACAGCAGAACTGGCAGCCATGGCTGAAGTGAAGAAAGGAATGCGCTGCCACGAGGCAAGCAAAACTGAAAAGTTGTTTGTTCTCTTTCGGGCACAACACACAGGACGTCGAGGACGGCGTGACTGGATAAACTGGACTCCTGGACCGTGAATAGGGGACTTGTAGAAAAAGTGTACTCCTTATAGGGGATTGCGCGGCAGGATGAAGCTGATCAAAACTGAGCGGACTCCTGGACTCTGTATAGTGGATTTTGGACCAATGGACTCCATATAGGGTGCTGGACATCATATAGTGCATGGACTCTATACTGAGTCCTACATATATATTAGCAATATCAAGAGCCCATAACCCCCCAAGAGTGTGCAACTCCTGATACCCTTTCTATGGGGTACACCGACAGCAAAAACTCACATAACGTGGTGCAGTGTCGCAGTTGTACATTTCCAGCCTGTTTTTAGCGAGCAGCGGAGTAATAAAAAATGCACTCTGACAGAAACTCACTCCGGGTATGCAAATCCCCAGGATGATCATGGCAGATATTCGGATTGCGCGCACACTGTCCTTCGTTTATACGTACAGTCAACTTTGTGTATAACGACACTCGGCGGGGCATCAGAAAAGTGTCCTTATTCACGAAGTGTCGTTATAACGAAGTCTCATTGTATGCATTACAGTTAGATGTGACATTGCGTCGTTATTAGCGAAGTTGACTGTGGTACGAACGTATCTTAGACACGTGATGTGAGTTTTTGCCGTCAGAGAAAGTTGCACACTCTTGGGGGGGGGGGGGGGGGTTATATACTCTTGACAATATGCGTAGCTGAGAAACTTACCGCTATACGCAAGCAAATGCGAGCGTAGAGTTCACAATAAGTTGGCTCCGATAATGACTGCATTGAACAAACACCGACGAGAGAGAGAGAGAGAGAGAGAGAGAGAGAGAGGGCGCGAGAGAGAGAGCGCGCGAGAGAGAGCACGAGAGAGAGAAAGAGCGCGAGAGAGAGCGAGAGAGACAGAGACAGAGAGCGAGAGAGAGCGCGAGAGAGAGAGTGCAAGAGAGAGCACGAGAGAGAGAACGCGAGAGAGAGAGAGCGCACGAGAGAGAGAGAATAAAAATTATGAGGCACAGAAAGCAAAGCGTAGGTAATAGCAACCACAGTAACGAGAGACCATCTCTCCTGAAAGACCAGTTGTCTCACTCCCATTAACTTTACCATGAGCACAACATATTGGTAGACAGAGGAAGAGAATCATCAGTGTGAGTAGTACCGTAAAGCCCACTTTGCAGCAAACGCCCACCCCAGCGGGTCCATACTATTTTCGTCTTTTTCAGGTCAATATAGTTGTAGAAAACTGGCATGAAGATCGAATGCGTACGAAAACGGCTGTGATGCCTACAAACTGCCTATGTCTTACCAGGAGGCTCTGCAAAAGCGATTGTCATTATTTAACTGCAAAGAAAAACCTCTGTGGGGATTTCCTTTCATTCAATAAATGAGTCGTCTTTGTGGTAGTTTGCTCTCCATGTGGTATTGCCGTAGAATCCATCTGGCTTTCATGAAATTTCTACAGTGCCACGATGTCGCACTTTCAGAACGGAACAGTGATTGTTCTGACGAAGCGTCAAAAAGACTCATGCAACGACTTGACTGGTTGCAGTATTGCTGTTGCAAATCGAACAGGGTATGTCACAGAAGCTACACCTACAAAGTTGCTGCTAACTTGTTGAAAACTTTGAAGTGCCCGAGAAAAACACTTGCCATTGAGCGCTGTGTGATTTGGAATTGATGGCTTGAAACACCGTCAGAAGTGTATTTTGGTTCCTGCAATACTCTGTTCTTCGCTACCTTGTTATTCAGAAGAAACTCCTGTTTGGATTTGCGAAATAAAACAACCATCATTATAACATCACTACGAGCTAGCTCGTGGCTAGTGCCGAAAGAGATTTTGAAACCAGGAAAGTGGACAAAGTTTACCGTCGCAAAGCGCTCTTCGCGCTACGGTGTGAGATGCACTTTCGTACAGTAGTGGTGACAGTGCATGGGGTCAGTGTGTACAGGCCAGCAGATCTTGCAAAAATGGGGTGGGCGTTTGCAGCGTACTTTACGGTAATGGCAATACGTACCGTTTCCACCCAGGTATAAGCAACACTGGGAGTGTAAGCTGCACCCAGATTTTTCCCGAAATACAGACATCCACCTTATTTATCACCGTTTACTGGACCATTGCAGTATAAGCCGTACCGACTCTTTTATTACCGTAAAGTACCGTTGATCCCCACGCCATGTCGCTTCCCAGCTGGGTTTTTGGCAGGGGGCGGGGGGATTAGATCAAGGCTATCAAGTGCAGTACGATGTACAACAACGCAGAGGATCAGACTAGATGTGCTGGATTGTGCACATTTTCATCCTGCTCTGGCACGTATTCTGTACAGCAGTGCACATTTTCATCCTGCTCTGGCACGTATTCTGTACAGCAGTGCATGCGTCGGTTCAACATCGTATTGCGTTGTATACGCCAAAGTCGCTTCACTGGCAGAAAGTCGACAGGGGGCGGCTCAACGGTACTTTACGGTACTGGTAAAGTGCGCATTGTACTCCGGTAAGCCAGCGTACACGAAAAACTTAATTCAAAATGCGTACAAATCATACTGAGAAGGACGCACGTTAGCCTCTTGAACAACATCTCGAATCGCATTATTGTATCCGAGGAGACTGGCCGCACACAAACTATCTCGGGTTTACTCCTGTGCCTACATTGTAGTGCGACTACGTCACCCTACCTTCTTGCAGATGAGCTCTACCACACCGCGCAACCTCTCTTCAGAGTTTATTTCCAACTCATCAAACGCCATGGCGAGCTTCTCGAACTTCTCCGGTGTCAATTCGTTAAGGATCGTCATCATTCGGCTAAGTACCGCCTGTGAAACGAAACAAAAAGATCAAAAATGAGGTGGTTGGAATAAGTTACAGAAAAGGAAAAGGATTGAATCACATCGAGCATTCGGAGTCCATTGTTCAAAATCGAACAATGCACATCTCGATGCATGTGGGTTCGGTCAAACTTTCGTAATCCGGCCAAATCTTGACCAAATTCAAAAGGTGCAGGTGATAAATCAGACTATCAGCTATCCTCTTCCTTTACACAACTTGGTATGACACGGCAAGCCACATGAACCCTGCCGCATGTGTTTGCGCATGTGTGTATAAGTGGGTACCAACAATTGTTACACTTACTTGCGTCTCGGCATCGCTGGAACCCTCCGTCTTTTTCTCGCAGGTTGGCTTCCAACGATTAGAGCTTTTCTGCAACGGCTCCTGAAAAGAGAAAACAATGAAACGCACAAGGTCAGGATCAACTGAAACATTAAAAAAAGAGTCACCACCGAGCGACGAGTGCTCAACACCGTAAGGTGGACCAAGGGTGGAGTCCGTGCACACAGTATGGAGAGAGGAAACTTGTAGTTACAACCCTGAGTTTGGCGTATTGGGCGATCATTTGGGGTAAGGGGTGCGTTGTGTCGCCCAGCACAGCAAACTGTATTGATTTCCGAGTAGGGGAGGGGGTCGGAGTAAGAAATGAACAATGTTCGTTTCAGGGCAGACGAAAACTTTGGCAATAACCCCGAAGTGCTTACTCAGATGGTGAGCCAAGGAAAGTATTAAATTGAAACAGCAACACCCCTACTGTATTAACAAAAGGTGTACTCACGCCAGCGTCGGGCACATTCACTTCAGTGAGAGCGCGCGCCTTCTTCTCGACCTCTGCCACTGCGGGTGCAGTATCACTATTCATTGCTGCGGCAGCAGGTTGTGAAACTGCTAAGGCACCTCCAGGCATACTGAGAGAGCGATCGAGATCTGGAATCTCTTTGCGAACGTCACGAGGAGAACCTGGTGGCGGCGGACCTCCGCGCACAACTTGGTCCGTGCAGCTAGTGCGGTTTGCGCTGGGGTGTGGCGCGGCTGAGCCGTGCGACAAGGATGTTGATCCTGTCCTGCGTGATGATGCAGTGGAGCTATCGTTTACACGCTGCTCTGGAGAGCGAACTGGATCAGCTGCTGCCAAGCTTGCATAACTGAGAATAGGAGAGAGAGAGAGAGAGAGAGAGAGAGAGAGAGTGTGTGTGTGTGTGTGAGAGAGAGAGAGAGAGAGAGAGAGAGAGAGAGAGATAGAGAGAGAGGCAAAGAGAAAGAGAGAGAGAGAGAGAGAGAGAGAAAGAGAGAGAGAGAGAGAGAGAGAGAGAGAAAGAGTGAGAGCGAGAAAGTAAGAGCGAGAAAGTGAGAGAGAGAAAGAGCGAGCGAGAAAGTGTGAGATAGAGAGACAAACACACACAGACACACCAATGCACCCACACCCACACACACATACACAAACATACACCTGTACACACACACACACCATGTACCATGTATACGCCCGTTGCAAGAGAAGCAAGCAAATCTGCAAATGCACTTGTTGAGCACCCACAGATTTTCTCTTAGGGGTCGTCCACAAAATATCGATATTTTTTTAGAGAAGACATTCGTTCGTTGGGGGGGGGGGGGGGGAGGGGGTTTGGGCCCTGTTTGTCTTTCCGAAAAAAATATCGAACTCTATCTTTCGACGGGTACTGTTCGAACATGTAGTTTATGACCTACACAAAGTGAAAGTCAACCTCGTGAACATAGCCATGGCAAGGTTGTGCGACCGTGGCAACGCAAACCTAGGTCACAGTAGGTGTATGGTGAAATTGCAGTTGCAGCTGGTCACGTGTCATGAGGAAATTGCACTTCGTTAAAAAATATTGATCCTCTGCATAAACATGTGTATGTTCGTTTCAGGGGGGGGGGGGGGGAGGGAGGGGTCTGGGGAGAAATGAATAAATAACGTCTTCAAAAAAATATCGATATTTACGAACGGCCCCTTATAGCAACGATAGCGAACAAGATCTGAATGAGACAGATCAAGACATGTGCCAGATAACTGTCTAATCCACACAACTGGCGAAGCCATGTGAATCGACCACCAATGCACACCTGGTCTACACCAGACGGAGTACATCAGCATAAAACGGCCAAGACAGTTATCTATGCACGCCCTATACTAGGAGTACTTACCGGTTGCCCCGCTCCACATCAAGAGGAGCACTGCCAGAGGTGCCGCCCATGCTACCCTGTCCCCCGAAAGAGAGACCACTCGGGCCCAAGCTCATTGTGTCATCTGTGCGATGCGAGAGTGCCGCACATTGCTGCAATCAATACGTACCAAACAAGATGAATTACGTGATGAGAGAAAGTGAAAGAAAAGGAGAGAGAGGGGGTCGGGGAGACAGGGGTTGAAATCCAGCTAGATGAACAAACTACCATGATATGATCTGTTTCTGAGGGATGGTCTTTCTGGTACAATGTACCTCTGCCAATGACCGTAAGGACAACAGAGTGACACAGAGGTTCCAGTGAATTGTGTTCACTGTCTGCAAGCACACAAGGCAGTCGAACCGCCATCTACTTACACTGGTGCCCCTTAGCCTATCAGGCTCAGAGCGCTGGCGTGGTAGCGCTGTCTGCCAGCCATCGCCCTCAGCGTTGGTGTTACGGCCTGAGTGGCTGCGACCTAAATCCACATTTAAGAGAGAGGTGAATGATGGGGGAAAGAGGCAGAATCAGAGGCAATGCTGACCGGTGTGAATATGTTGGCAGAAAGAACATCCCAGATCAGGGGCGTGCGCAGGATCCGGAATGGGGGGGGGGGGGGGGTGCTCCTACCTTTTCCCAAGGAACCGAAAAATGCACTATTCCTGTGCATGCGATGCATTGATGGTTGGTATCTTGATTCTTAGTGCGCTATTTACCACGATTTACCAAGTTGAGGGAAAATGTAGGATGTGTTTCGTAGGATGGAGCAAAATTGAAGCAAAAATCCCAAACATACCCCTCCCTTTGGAGGACAAAATGTACTTCCTTTTTAACCCTTTCAGCCCTTGAACCAATTTCAGGAAACGCGAAATCGCCGTTCTTGCTCATATTTCTCCGACACTGATAGGCTGAAAGTCCATCATTTTGATTCTCACAATCCTGGGCCTCCTGGAAAGCTCTATCCATAAGGAATACATTTGCAGTAGATTATGACGAGCAGCAACGTAAATATACAATGAGCGAAGCAAGGGTACCCGCCAGGGTCATGGCAATTGCGAGCAAAATACTCACCGCGATGTGATTCCCTCAAATTTTATCGCAGAGCGCTGGGATTTTTGCAAAGAAGTCGGGATGCCCGTAGCCTGATTGCGTCATAGCACCTGACTGGTTAGGTACGTGCGAAAATGGGGAAATCTCCAGCTGAAGTGCATTTTACAAGCTCAAAAAACCCAGCTTGAGACGTGATTTTTTCGATCGAGCGCCATAACTCCAGTCCAGGACATAGGATCGCGTTTGGGTTTCTTCGAGACGACAGCTGAGAGTCTTCTAATGCCGATAGACCTTTAAATAAGGCGAAGTTTGAAGTCACCCGGTACTAGTATTGAATGGCAAACTACCATTACCACTTCTGGCAAGAGTAAATAAGCTCCCAGGAGCTTACACTCTTGCTTCTGGTAAGTGGAGAAATAGAATCAGGTAATAGAGGAAGCAAGTGTAATGGATGATGGTAGCTTGACAAACACGGTACACTGTAGTAGCAGAGGCCTGCCACTTTCTGTTGGTAGAAATCATAAGCAGTGTCAGAGGTGTTCAATGATAGGGAGTCGAGGGGCAGCAACCCCTTTAGAAAATGTAGCCTTTTTAGGATTTCGAGGGCCCGAAACCGATTACTGTAAAAGTCATTATTCTAACGAGGCGCATATAATTATAACGATTTCCCAAAATTGACTAGTTTACGTGTACCAAAGGTCACGATTCTCACTCATTCTCAACGCTCAATAGGACAGTATATGTATCGATTTCAATATAACTATTTCTATTTTAACGACAGATTTCTCCTCGTTAACTCGTTAGAGTTAGCACTTCGTTATACAATATTATATGGCAACAACAGACTACACTTTCGTGAACAATCGTTTTCAGTCGGTTTGTCGGAACAACTGATCGGAATAGAAGAAGTCGAGGCCCTGACAATATGGACAACCCTCGGTCCTGGCACATGAAAGTACATGTAACACGGTGAACTATGATAAACTACAAGCAGTGACAGCGAGTTGAAAGCCAAAAAAATCAGTTAGAAAAATCTGACAGTTCTGCAACCAAAACAAGAATGATCGCATTCAAAAGTCTGGTTGAGGCCCTCTTCAGACTTGGCGTGTGTTTGATTGGTACAATATAGAACAGGATCGAACAGCTGGTGCACATGGAGTAGCCTCATGCCAACCAAACGGTACTCCAGAAACAGAGCACATTTTTGCGAAAACTGAAAAGTGTGCCAAACCTGGTGCATTCTTCAAAATGTGCACAGGTCACCATGGTCACTTTGTACGGTACAACGAGTCCAACTCAAAGGCGTATGCACATGATCATTTGGGACCAAAATCGATGTTCCCATGTATACATTCGCACTGCTATGATTACGCTTGGCCTCAGAGATTGTTCATTGGTAGTCATTAAACCAGCTATAGCCGACATTTTCACAACCAAAAACCATTATTCATCAGGCAACGACAAAAAGAACCCTACCTACCCCACCTCACAACACACACACACACACACACACACACACACACACACACACACACACACACACACACACACACACACCTCAGACCTCAGACATGCCCATCGCGGAAGCGATGATAGCGAACAGCTATGTTAAACATAGCAACTTGTGCTGGGATTACACCATTCAACAGCTTGCAAGGCTGATGAATTGACCGCCACTATTTTTAGCCTGTTATCCACCAAACAGCTGTTTGAAGTGACTTTTTCTGGCCAGTGAATCCCTATTTTTCATTTTTCCATTTTTTCTACACACACACACCACACCACATACTCCGGCATACACTGGCTGTTGGTAACCACCCAGGAGAAAGAAAGGAAAGTCAGGAAGAGTCCGAGAAAGAGAAGAAAGACGTGTGCGACCATAATCGTCGGGAATTGAACCCGCAACCTCTCGATTGGAAATCGACTGCACATACCACTGCACCATATGGGACACACACACACACACACACACACACACACACACACACACACACAAACACACACACACACTGTACTGTACTTGTTGCTCACTGCCAAAACATACCACTGCACCATATGGGACACACACACATACACACACACACACACACACACACACACACACACACAAACACACAAACACACACACACACTGTACTGTACTTGTTGCTCACTGCCAAAACTGGTCACGTGAGTCCCCCCCCCCCCCCCCCCCCCGGGAGAGGGGAGAGAGACTCAAAAGGAATCTTACTTCCTCCGCCCAGGCAAAGTTTTCGCTTATCTCCTTCAGCCCAATGACAGGTGTCTGACAGCCATTTTTGCATCTTGTGCACTTCACCATCACACATATCTGCTGGTTCAGGCGTACCAGTTCCAAACAAGTCGGCGAAGTCGGCAAAGAGTAAAGAAACACCTGGAGAAGAGCGCGTTGAACGCGAGTGAACTGGTAAAAAAGACACGAAGTCAGTCACTGGTCAACAAAACGGTGGGTGCTGCTAGAGTACCACTGGAGTACAGAGCAGAGCTAAGGTGTCATGTTGCGAAAAGCCAGCGTGTTCGATTGCATCCGGCACAGGATGTGTGTACGGTAAAAAATGCACGTCAGCTTGAAGCTGAGAAAGCCACTCAGCGACGCTCGCCCACATACTGCAAAAATGAACCAGAATCGGTACTGGGCAAAACAAGTAGGGGGAAAAGAAAGGCTTCGATGAGTCACTCACCCAGCTCATTCGCCTGATGCCAACGTGAACGATCCTGCAAAGTGACGCTGAGCTCGTCCGCTTCGGCTGGTAAGAAACACGACTGATCGTACTCATGAAGGAGATGAAGCGCTTGGAAAATTGTCGATACGAAGTATTTGCGCTTCTGGAAAGTTCGAAGTACTACCCGACAACAAGTACTGCGTCGGCTGATGACAAAGGACGACTTCTAGATTTTTCGACTTGGAGAGATTCTCTTGATGTTCAACGACTCCTTAACTCATTCTGAGTCGTCAGGAGCCATTCTGAGTACCTGGAATGTATCAGTAAAAAGTGTAAAGACAAAGCGAAAATTTTGCTTGGGCGGAGGAAGTAGAAAGATGACTCAATTGGTTATTGAACCGCCCAACGGCCGACACCCCCTGAAGTCCCCAAAACTCTGGGTGGACTTGAAAATGATCCCACTTATGGGCTCACCACACCTCAGTAAGTGGGTGGGGACAAGGTGCAGAAAAATGATTGACAGCATCAGGTATCCGTCCCGGGATCCAACTGCAGTTACCCCTGCCCCCAGTGAAGGTAATATTTGCTACTAGTGTGAGTGGCTAAATCAGAGTGGACCTGATAAAAGCTTCACTAGCACCATTGATCACACAAGAGTTAATCTAGCCAGAAGCAGTCCATGGTTAACAGGTGTGTATACTTCAAATAGAAAGTACTTGTATATGAACCCTGGAACCAACAAAGGTGTCAGGTACAACATTACACCTTCAAGCAGCCGAGCCTGTTGGCAACAGACCCAGCACAATCAGGCATAAGTGTACCTACCAGCCGAACTAGCACACACACACACACACACACACACACACACACACACACACACACACACACACACACACACACACACACACACAGGCACACACACACACGCACATACATGTACACATACACACACATACACACACATACACACACACACACACACCACGCACACACACACACACACACACACACACACACACGCAAACACACACGTACATCCTTCCTTCCTTCCTTCGCTCACTGCCACGATGGGCTGTGTCCCCAAACGGGGCGACTTGAAGGAGTGCTGTCTTCAGGACGCGGGATGAGGCCCTGCGAGTCCGGCGGGACGTGAACGGCTGTTTCACTATTTGCTTTTTTGCTTTTGTGGAGCGACGGGAGGTGCAACTATGTCTAGCGATGTCTTGAGAGGTCGGCTGAAACGGCGTGTGCAGACCATACACAGGAGTGGTTTCACGGCAGGTTGTACACGAGAGCATACCATGCTGTAGACTCCATCCTGACACCTGGTTCTCCACTCAGACTTATCATCTGCTGTCTCAAGCCACTCATTCATGCCAATGGACACCGCCGCCAGGTCATGTTTGACTGGGTCTTTCCACCTCTTCCGGGGGCCATGTGGAGGTCGTTTAGACGGCAAGGCACCAAAGAGCAATTGGCGGGAATACGGTCATCCATGCGAGCCAGGTGGCCCAGCCATTGGAGACGACGGCGCCGGACCTTGTCAGAGACCTTCTCCATGTCTCCCCACCACTGCCATACCTGAAGGGTTGTCACGTGCTCGTCCATCTGGTGCACCCGACTGATGCCCAGGACTATGCGTATAGATCGCAGGTGAAACGACTCCAGACGCTAGAGATCCCGTTGCCTCGGTGTCCAGTTCTCAGTACCATAGAGGAGTACCTCCAACACAGTGACTCTGTACACA